ATGAAAGCGTGTACGGCGGTGGTGCCGCCTGGCGTCATGGTGACGTTGATGGCGGGCCTCGCAAGGTTATTACATTGATTTTTCCTGAAGATGGGTATGCGGAACATGGCGGCGGCAAAGACTTCTAGAGCGTGTATGCTGGTACGCGCTAACGGTCTGTTGGACCAGTTGTGCCACCTACTCGCTGCTGGCCGAGGCTTTCTGTTTTTAGATGAGGCGCGTTGTTGTGATGTCAGGGTGTTGGCCCTATTCGTCGACTCACGCCTTCATCTGTCTTCTAGGATTAGTGAGTTGTCGCTAGTTTTGGTGGCTTCGGTTTGATCTTGGTAACTCCTCTTGTAAGGTGTTGTGAATAATCTAATAAAAAGGTTTTGTGCATCTCTTGGATGCCGAGGGCGGGGCGATCTTCCCCTATTTCGGAAAAAGAAAAAAGAAAAAAAAATAAGCCACACTCATGCACTTATCAAACCCAATCGGAAGCCACACTCAAGCATAGGCACAACATAGCCCTATTATTGCCGCCATATGTGTTTTGCCATGTGTCAAGCTATCAAACATTGTTCGTTAAATACACCTATCTATTTAAATATTACAAACTTGGGTTCCACATCCGTTTGTGCGTCCGATTAAGCTCGCCGGCTTGCATAGCGTGACTTTCCTAATTAAATCACTACATAAATTTCGCACAAATCAGTGAACATCCATAGGGGTAAACGTGAGGTTAAATACATGAATTCCTTACTTCCATAGTGGGTTTTAATTATTATTTTTTGTGAGATTTTTCTTGTATGTAGACTTTATCAACTGGAAAATAGTACTCCCTTTATAAACTAATGTAGTGATCTAAATGCTCTTATATAAGTTTACATAGGGAGTAACTCATAAACCAGTTAAATCATCTCCAAAAATCCATAGTTCTTTTCATGACAAGTTATCTTGTGCGTGAACACGATACAGAAACTTTTAACACCAAACTTACATAGGGATTGGCTTTTTTTAACAAACTACACAATAGTCAACTGAGAAGATTTTGAGCATATACTATGCTCTTGTGCGCTTATTGTAACGGTCATTTCTTATCCGCATCAATCCAGATGCAAAGGGAGCTAAAGCTCTGAGCGGCCGGCGTGCAGCAGCTCTCGCAGAAGTCGCTGATGCGGTTCGTGCACTGGAAGCTGTTGTGGCCCGATGGTGGACATGACACAGCTCTTGCACTTGGTCGACGATAAAAAAACCCAGGAGCTTAAGTAATTCCAACGTGTGCACCTCGGTGGGTTGGACTTGGTGCACGAGTCGCAGTTATCGCAGGACGGCCATGTGTTTGCCACTGCAGGCAGCAAACAAGCGTCAGTAAGCTGCTATACTGACTTACTAGAGGAGGAGCAAAACAGAAGCGATTTTGACACACTGAAATGGATGAACAAAGAAAGAAGCATCCCGGCCTCACCTTGGCTGTGGGCGAGGGGCAGCGCTGCGAGGACGACGAACGCGACGAGCAGCACCTGAGGCCTCATGCTTTGCAAGGATGGGCTTGGTTTGGACTTTGGAGGGAGGGACCTCGTGCTTTGGCTTGGCTATTCCGGGACTTGTCAATGCTCATCAGCGTTGTCACCTCCATTGTCAGTCTTTTCTGTTAGTTTGTGTGGATGTTGAGAGAACAGTTATTGTGAAGAAGAAAGCCAGGAGGACTATACTAGAGGGTGTACGAGCTCGGTCCTTGATTGCTACCTGATGGGAATCTTCGACAAGGATATGCTGAGAAACGTGTGGACGAGATGGACGGAATTCCATAAATTTCCTTCAACGAATCTGACTATTCCGGTAGTGGGGATGGGCACGGCATCATAGAAATGATGAGAGGGAGGAAGATATCACGAAGGTGCGTCAACAGAGCGAGGAGCTGGCCGGCCGGCCGAAGCTGACAAAGAAGCAATTTTTTTTTCTCAAATACGCATAAGCAGAGAAGAAGCGGCAAAAAAGCCAGGCACAACGCCTTTCGATCATTACAACGCTAATCATAAGGATTAGCAGCCACACATCCCACCTGTACTATGATACATGCATCACCTAGATTAACCCATGCCAATGGCAATAAGGCAAATCGCATAGATATCAAGCCGCGTCACAACCAACACCGAAGACCTCTACAACATGACCAACATCTGAGGACAGCACAAACCAACATACCCCACCCATTTGCACTAAGAGGAAGTCGGCGGTGGATGGCAGGGCTTGGTCAGACCTGGAGTGGCGTCGTCGAGAGAGCGCCGGCGACGATGTACATTGCGCATCGAAGGCCCAAGCCCAGAGCAATTGCCGACACCAATTTGAGCCGCACCATCGGGGACTCCTCGAGCAACAAGACGATGCTTCCATGGAGGGAACGCCGCCATGACGCCGCCATCACCTGATCCGAAAGTTGGACCAAAGGTTTCCCCCGAGCACGAGGCAGGGAGTCGGATCAAGGCCAAGACAACGCCTCCATGGAGGGTACGGCACCCGTGGGAGTCGACATTGTCAGCCTCGGCCATCGCGAAGCAGGGATTTCTCCCAACCCCAAATCACAGATCCCCAAGTCCGGAGCTTCTCAAACGAGTCAGCCACCGCAGCAGGAGGAGAGGGCATATCGTAGTATAGTATCTGCCACCACCGCATGAGCCAGATCAAAAACAAGGCATCGCAGCCTACCTAGATCGAAGCCACCTCCACTACGACCACATGGCACCACCACCTCCACCGCGCATCACAGCACGCCACCACCACCACCTCCACGCGAGGCATCACGAAGACCACCCCGGAATGCGCCGCCATGCCAAGCCCCGCTGGCCGCCGGACAGAGCAGACCCCGGGCGCCGCTGGCACCAGATTCGGGCCAAGCCCAGACCCACCGCGCTCCCGCAACACAGGCCATCCTCAACCATGCCGTGGAGGCCGCTGGCCAGCGCCCGAACCATCACCCCGCAGCAAACGGATCTTGCAGGAGGACCACAGATCTACCGCCACCGGAAGCCACAGCCGGCTACCCACGCTGCGCACGCAGTCCTGGTTGCACCGCCCCAGCATCCGAACTCCGCCGCCCCGCATGGCACCAAGGGGCGCCGCTGTGCGCTAGCTGGAGGCGAGCCCGCCACCGCCGTCCGCCGGACGTGCTTCGCTCGCCGGCTTCTTCCGGCGGCGGCGGGAAAAGCAGGTGGATTGGACGGGTGGAGGGTCGGGGGCAGCGGCTAGGGTTCACCCAAGCCGTCCCCCCCGGAGGCAGCGTGAGTGAACGGGTTTTTTCCAGTGACTCTAACGGAAATAACTGTTACAAGACCGAGAAAGAAGCAATTAGGAGAGAAAGATATCTCAAGACCTTTTTTATCTCAGGTACGTATTTGGTATTTTCACATAGATCTCTGCACAAGATATACCCGAGCTTTCTAGGAAAATTGGATACCTGTTTTTTCTCGATACATGTTTGTTTTCGATAGTGCCCGGGAGAATCGATTTCAGAAATATCTCAGCAAGTTCGTTTTTTCACCCAAAACATTCCGGATCGAGGCTGGGTGAAACTTAGCTTTTTTTTTTTTTTGAAGGTCGGTGAAACTTAGCTCGGACGGGTCGTTTTCAGAGGATGGAAGAGCTGGATCAAGCCAGGGCCGGTCCTGAGATTTTAGGGGCCCGGGGCAAGATACCAAAAGGGGGCCCTACGACTACATAAATACTTTATGCTTTTTCTATTTTAATTGCAAATACATACTAACTACACTATAAATAGTAAATTCGAAAGATTGCTAGAAAAAAACAAAAAAAATCTGAATTTATTTTTAATATACATAATCAACCGGTATACTCTCATATGAAGTTTCATGAAGAAATCACATCTGTGATAATATGTGAAAAAATGAAAAAAATCAAAGCTAATCGAAGCTATACTAAAAAACATTATTTAATGAATAGTATGGTCGCATTTGTATTTTCTTCACTAAGAATACCATGGGTGTCATACATCATGAAACTTCACGCGTTAGTAGAATGATCGACTAAAGTTCATACCGCGAAATTTCAGAAATTTTTTATTTTTTCTAGTATATTTTATGAATTTACTATTCACATGGGTGCGCGCGCACCCATGTTCACCTTTGTATTTCGAATAAAATCTTGCTGAATTAATAGCACTCTTGCTAATTAGTAAACAAACATATGACAATAAATTAAGAAAACTGCTAATGAAAAAAAATGCTAAGGAAGAGGCATGGAACAAGGCACCTGGATGGCTAGAACACTAGGAATTAGAAGCTTTTGCTGCTGCTTACGAGTCACAAACAAAAATCCGAGTTCCCCTTTTCTATTCCCTATCAATGCAAGAAACTGCATTGTGAGAAAGAGATACGTACGAGGAATAACTTCATGAACCGAACAATCTGACAAGTTATATAAAAGGGAATTGGCGTTGAAGAAGAGGTTGATGGAATCTTAAAAAATTTAGTATTACCTTTCTCCACCAATCATCTCCAGCAGCAGAAAATCACAATTAGACGACGCGGCAACAAGCAGTTGACTTTGGCATTTGCATAGCTGATTCATTGACAGGTCTGAAGGAGAAGTAGAAAGACAAGAAGACCACGCGCGCGAGGCAAGGCCAGAATTGACGGATCTGTTACAATTATTTCCCTTTTTTGAGAAAAAATCAGTCAATCTGTTACGTGGGAAAAATATTCTTTCCTAAACATCACAGCGTAAAAATCAATCATGGGAAAGAATACTTTACCATTTTGAGAATCAGTCGATCTGGAAAGGATTTTTTGTTTCCTAAGAATGACATTTCTTTCCTAAGACATAACACACGCAAGGGACATCGGGGCCCCTTCCTACTCGGGGGCCCGGGGCGGCCGCCCCCCCTCAGGGCCGGCCCTGGATCAGGCATGGTACTCCGTGATGAACAGGGCTGCATTATCTTCTCCTCTTGCAGGGAATTGTTCTCGTGTCGGAGAGCCCTCGAAGCTGAACTAGGAGCGTGTATGGAAGGGCTATCGTTGGCGTTGATGCGTTCGGAACTTCCGGTGGCGATCGAGATGGATTCTTCAGTTGCAGTGAAGATGATAAAATCCAGTGATGAAGATAGATCAGTCTATTCGGCTTTGGTAAAGGAGATCAAGTATCTCATGGGTTTTCGTAAAACTAGTATTACTCACGTTAGTAGAGCTCAAAATAAAGTTAGTAACTCTCTTGCAAACTTTGCTCGTGTGGAGGGAAGAACTATGACCTGGCTTGGGTCGGGACCTCCGGAGGCCATTGAGCTTAACTCCTTTGATTGTAATCCTGTGTGAAGTGAGTAATACAAGTTTTCCAGCAAAAAAAATGAATAGTGTGAACATAACCCTAAAAAAAGGAATAGCGTTAACATATAATACGTTTAACCTATTTCGATCACAAATTGCTCCTAGTTCCAGTGTCAGCACACTCCCATTATTTCGGAAAAGAGTATTCCCCCGCATTATATTATAAATAATCATCACCGATTACAAGCGAGAGACAATTACAAACACACACCACCACCATATATAACACACACACACCCAAGGCAAGATACAAAGGTGTCGGCGACTGATACACCACCCCATCAACAACCAAGCAAGCTATATGAGCGAGGAAGGCCGCTTGGAGCCGATGGAGATCTCCACCATGAGCATCCACAATAGAGAGGTGAGCCAGACAACAACGAAGCCAGGACTCCAAAGCGGCGCCTCCCAGAAGGGTACAACCATGGATAGCCGCCACCGGATGATCCCGAATATCAGGAAGGATATGGCGTCAACGGCCGCCGGTGGCGTCGGCTAGTCAAAGGACTGGGCAACTGGTGTACCCCGGCACTCCCACCCCTTCGTCGCACCCTAGGTCTGTCCACCACGCCACCCGCATGGCCATGGTTGCCCTCCCGCACCTGAGACGCACGCTCCGCCCCCAAACGCCATGCCTCCCGCTGCTAGAGCCGCCGCCCTGCAACTAGACAACCCCGAGACTGCACAAAGGCCCCTGCTTTGGCCCAACCGGCAGCCCCCAACCGATGGAGCCACCAACAGACGCTCCACTCCAAACATCGGCATACCTGCACCAACCCGCCCGCGGCCGAGGAAATGGGGAGAAGGAGGGGATGCATCCGAACCGACAGACTTGTGCTTGCAGTAAGTGACACGATCGCATCGAGGCCACCCATCCCTCCTACCGAGTTCCCCGCCGAACACGGGGAAAGGTGGAGGAGGAGAGGATGGATCCGGACCAGCACACCCATGTGCCGGCGACAAGTGACACCGCCGCATCGAGGTCATCAATTCCTCCTACCGAGCTCCCCGCCGAACACGAGGAAAGGGAGAGAAGAAGGAGCGGATGCATCCGGACCGCCAAACGCCTACGCCGGCGATAGGTAACGCGACCGCATCGAGGCCACCCACCTCTGCTATCGAGCTCCCCATCAAACACACCGCCGTGTCACCACACCATGGCAATCGACATACATGCCCGCGAGGCCACCACCAATCGCACGCCCACCGACAAGAGGTACTAAATCCGTTAGCTTAGCACTATGATCGTTTAGTTTATTGCTATTGCTTTCTTCATGACTTATACATGTTCCTATGACTATGAGATTATGCAACTCCTGAATACCGGAGGAACACTTTGTGTGCTATCAAACGTCACAACATAACTGGGTGATTATAAAGATGCTCAAAGGGAACAACGTATGTTGTTATGCGGTTTGACCGATAAAGATCTTCGTAGAATGTGTAGAAGCCAATATGAGCATCCAGGTTCCGCTATTGGTTATTGACCGGAGATGTGTCTCGGTCATGTCTACATAGTTCTCGAACCCGTAGGGTCCGCACGTTTAACGTTCGGTGACGATTCGTATTATGAGTTTATGTGATTGATGTACCGAAGGTTGTTCGGAGTCCCGGATGAGGTCATAGACATGACTAGGAGTCTCGAAATGGTCGAGACATAAAGATTGATATATTGGAAGGTTATGTTTGGACACCGAAAAGGTTTCGGATAGGTTCGGTCATTTTTCGGAGTACCAGGAGGTTACCGGAACCCCCGGGGGGTTAATGGGCCTTCATGGGCCTTAGTGGAAGAGAGGAGGAGGCAGCCAAGTGGAGGCGCCCCCCCCCCCCACCCCCAAGCCCAATCCGAATTGGGGAGGGGGCTGGCCCCCCTTTCCTTCTCTCCCTATTCCTCTTTCCTTCCCCTCCTAGTTGGACTAGGAAAGGCGGAGTAGGATTCCCCCCCTTGGGGTGCGCCCCATGAGGCCGGCCGGCCCCCTCCTCCACTCCTTTATATACGGGGGAGGGGGCACCCCATAGACACACTCAAGATTTGTCTTAGTTGTGTGCGGTGCCCCCCTCCACAGTTACACACCTCGGTCATATCGCCGTAGTGCTTAAGCGAAGCCCTGTGCCGGTAACTTCATCATGACCGTCGCTACGCCGTCGTGCTGACGGAACTCTCCTTCGGCCTCAACTGGATCAAGAGCCCGAGGGACGTCATCGAGCTGAACGTGTGCTGAACGCGGAGGTGCCGTACATTCGGTACTTGGATCGGTTGGATCGCGAAGACGTTCGACTACATCAACCGCGTTACTAAACGCTTCCGCTTTCGGTCTACGAGGGTACGTGGACACACTCTCCCCGCTCGTTGCTATGCATCTCCTAGATAGATCTTGCGTGATCGTAGGTAAAATTTTTGAAATACTGCGTTCCCCAACACCAACGTATCCGGAAGTCTCGAATTGCACTACTTATGTGTCACACCACCAACTTAACTAAAATTTGCCAGCGTGTGCGTGCCTTGATTGCCTCTTCTTCGAGGGGCTAACCCGAAGGGGAGGACAAGGTGGTGTTATGAATGTGTAGGCATGTGAATATATGATTAGCTTGCAATCCCCTTCATCTATGCTTTTTCATCTTAAATCCAAAAAATGTAAGTGTACTATATTGCTTAGTCGCTTGTTGCAGCTTCACCACTTCACCTCTACCACACCCATAAGTATTGTTATAGTTCTAGTACCTTTGACGATGAGACTTGCTGAGTACCCAAAGTACTCACCCTTGCCACAACAACATGTGCAGGTCACAACTATACCTGAGATGCTGAGACATGACATTCCTGCTTGGAGTACCCCCGACAACGATGAGTAGACTAGTGAGACCCGGCCGGCAGCCTGAAACCAATCGGATGGGACTGTTGCTTTATGTTTCCACCTCTTAGGCGTCCTTGAGTTTTGTCCGTACTAAGACTATTTGAGACATCCACTGTGATGATGTTGGATCAAGCGGTCTGTCAGTGTAATAATTTGGATCTTGGCACTTGTATGCCCTGTTCATATATATCTATGTTGCCTCTTTGGTAGTGCAAATGTTGTGATATTCAACATGTATAGTCCACAACGTATGAAGATGTGTGTATGATGCGAAGTCATATGTTTCGGCGGTACTATATGCTCTTCTATTCTAGAAATGGATCGGATGGTCTATATTTAGAATAGTACTACATATGGAGCCTCGTAACTCGGAGTTCACTCCTAACTAGCGAGTGTTTGGTAATGGCAATGCAGTGATTGTATGGACATAAGGAGGCGTTTTGTCTCCCTTTGTGTGGTGGAGTGAAGAATTTTCGGTGTTGGCAAGTTTCTCTATGATCTTAAGGTGCCAATGGCACCATGTCAGGAAAAAAATGAGTAAAAGAAACCACATGTACCCTTTTTTTTCTTTTTCTTTTTGAAGTTAAACATTATTATGCAGATTTTCGAAGCATATGAATGCATGGGTTGAAACCTTATCACTTCACTTATATATTGTACATGTTGGCAAGTTGGAAAATATTCGAGACATATATGTTGTGGTCATGGCTCTAGTTGCTCTCACATCTAACATGCAAATTGCAGCAGTGAACCTGGCTTGATTGATTGTTCAAATTTTAGGTTTTTATCAGAAGATGCAGATCCTACTGTATTTTTCTCTGGTATTTTCAGACTTTTGGAATAACATATGAGAAATCTCGATTCCTCTCACCTTTTACGCTGAATATACAACGGTAGAAATTGGTGTAAATCTTCTGCAGAATAGTGGCTAGTTACCAAGAAAGAAAAAGAAAAACTAAACCCCACTGTCGGCTTTGTTCTTTGCAGCAAGAGAAACTGGAAGGACCAGACAAACTCTACAAAATTCATTTCCGGCTGTGATATCCAGAAATGACAATTGTTGCAAAAGAAAAGAAAAAAATGGTATTTGATGATAATTAACATCCATTCTATCATTGGAAATATCAAAGGTTACATGGGAAATAGAAAGGCCTTAATTGATTAAAATCAATTCCTTCTGTGGGAAGAAAGTATATGAAGAATAATAATGGCTGGAGCTAGATATTTCAAATACTAGTGCATGTGCATCAATTCATTGCTATCGTATCACAATGGGGATTTACAATTATGTCAAACTAAACAAACCGTGCCGTAGTGAGACAGGGACAAGATTTAAATACAAAATTGCAGGTAGGCGGGGGTGCCAGAATAGACCTTGATACAAAATTGGGGAGGGCAAGTGCCCTACAGAAAAGAAAAAGAAATGCTAAGAATAAATCTTCACACAATAGAAGATGCTGCAAGGAGCTTGCGACAAGCTACCGTGATCACTTGGCATGCATGCAAAGGTACCTTCGCGCATCGGTCAATTGCGTGACAGGTAAAAACGAGGTCGGTTGCAGAACTTCCTACCGTTCTTTTTGACATATAGTGCAATGCCAACGCACAGACCGGCCCACACAAGTGCTACCACCAAGTGGCGAAGATCATTCCGGGCTGCAAATTATGGTTCCAAAAAGGCAATATAGAATCAACTTACATATCAATAAAGCACAATTTCTGGTGAATTCACTGAAGCACGAAAAGGACTGAACTAAACTTCTCCATATAGGTCTGCTTTGGTTTGTGGAGTTTTCGTGATCATTGTCAATTCCATGAAATGCGTCACATTCAGAAGCCAGAACTTTACCTTGTCGTAGAGACATAAGCATGAACATTGCAGCGCAAAAAATCAAGGCAAAAGCAGCACGGAAGGACTGCAAAGGAGAAAACGCGCAAGTAAGACAGGATTCAGTGCAATGCTAGAACCAATCACTGCAAACTTGCAATGTCATTCACAAACAAGTGTTGGCCACTGAAACAGCTAAAACCCACCTGCATAACTCCGGGTCTGCTTGGAACCGCGGCGTCCCGACTAACTGATGATACGTAATGTCCTTGAAGAAGGTCCATGGCATCCTAGAAACAACACAA